CTCATAAGGCACAATCTGCAGACTTCTACAATAACAGTATTTGGAGAGTCAAGAAACGCTGGGGAAAATGTGTAAATCTGGATGGTGACTATGTAGATATAAGTTAACAACTACAAATAAAAACAAACCATCTGTCCATTTTTTTTAAAGGAGATAATTAAAATTTTACGATACCCCTTCACAACCCTATGATAGACCCTGCATTCTTGGGGATTTTCTCTGCCTGGAGAGCTTTAATAATGCATTCCAGAGTTTGGAGAAGACATTTAATGGGGAAGGGGAGCTCCCAGAATCCTGCAGCCAGAAAGACCACTGCTACAAGATTCTGGAAGGTATAGATAAACTTTTCCAAGATATGATTTACTACCCCATAGCCCATAGAATGCAGAGCTCCATGCAGAAATGATACTATTTGCCATATGGAAACTGTTTCACTTGGCTGTTCACAATGCAAATGCTACATTTTCCACCACACAATAAAAGTTACTCATTATTTAACTCCCGTGTTAATTATTATAAAAACACAAATTAACCAGACAAATGGGATATTCTTAAACCAATGTTGGCATGTAAATGAAACAAACCTCCTCTGAGAATTCTTGTTGACATTTGTGTGTGTGTGTGTGTTTAAATTAACTCTGTGGAATTCACTCCATTTGTTAGATTCTATCTCCCTCCCTCTCTCCCTCTCCCTCTCTCTTTAAGCAATTACAGCTCTGAATTATTCAAAACTATCATCTTCCCAGTCAACTGCAGTGATTGCTCCATATCCCTGCCACTTGAGAAGAAAGGGTGGGCCTTTCAAACCACAATCTGATTGTCAGCATGATGACAGATGTCATCACAGATGTTTTTAGAACTGGTAGGCTTGAGCTATTTCATTTGAACATGAAGGAGTATAGTTCATTACTTGCAGCCCAATGTACTGCAAACTTACTCAGAAGTCAGTTGCATTAACTGCACTGGGATTTTATTCCTATGTTGTACATAATTATATGGAAGACAGATTCCCTGAAATCAGAGGATCTTGCATCTGAGTAAACAAGTTAAAGATCAAATATATAAGCCTGTGGTTTCAGAGCTCCAGTTCAGACACCCTGTTTTGCAGGAAATCCCTTTGGAGTCTCAAGAAAATTACTTGGGATAAGAAAGATGCATTTAGAAAGGAGCTTTCATGTTTCAGCATAGTGATAATGATCTATCTGAATGTTCCTTTCACATAAAGCACAAATCATTTTTATTTTTATTTCCTGCAACAGAACTTATTTTTATTTTTAATTCCAGCCTCTCTGAGAGCCTGTGTGGCTTAAGAGTGAGATAAAAAATACTCTAAATAAATAATACAAATACAGTAAATAAAAAATAACTGGCTGGTGATATAACACTAGCAATTTTTATGAATGTTCAGATACCAACATTTTGTAAGCTTTAAAAATGGCACACATAGTACACCATTTTCAACAGGAAATATACACATTGGCATCTTTTTTTTTTTTTCAATTGGGAAAAACTGATCACTAACAGGAGTGACAATTTGTATGCTTGTAGCAGTTGAAAGTGATGACTAGCAATTAAAAATGCATGCCTTTTCACACAAAACTGTTTGTGAACAATATTATTTGGATGATACATAAACTACTGCTAGCCTGCCCAAAGTGATCATTTCTAATTTCATGTATATATCCAAGATTTAAGGCCTTTTGCTTTCTGAGTAGGGATCAGTGAGACTTTTTTCAGTTCTTTTAGGTAAAGAAATTATCAGAATTTTCAAATTTCTTCAGATTCAAAGAATGCAAGATTTAACAAAAAAAATTGGTGGAAGGAACAAAAAGTAGCATTCATACACTTTAACCTTAAGCCTAAAGGGTTTAATACCTTTACTGTTAAAAGTTTGGTTGACAATCCTTGTGTATTCAGCCATGTCAGAGCTTCTCCTTTTACCTTCAGAGGTTCCATGTATTTAACACCTATATTGAAGGCAAATACAACATGGTGCTCTTTACTGTAGGCATAGTTGTAGAATTTGGCCACTATAAATAAAAAAAATAATGTTTCATTTATCTTTTAAAGAATTTACCAAATTCACCCTTTTTGTGATATTTAGGGTGGTAAGAATTTGAGCTTTACAAATGTTGAATTTAGGAGAAAGCAAGCAAGAAACAAACCTGATTTCTCCATCCCTCTGTCTGTGAGAGGCATAGTTGCAAAGGAGGATGACATCATGATGAAAGAACTGGTTTGACATCCAGGGAATATGCCCAGCCCTAGTAGATTTTTTTTTTTCATTGCTAGGAAAGTCACCTAAGCTATTATTTTAAACAAATTGACACTGCAGGAAGGCACACCTATTTATTTATCAGTCTGTTGTCATGGCACAGCATGCCACAACAAAATGTGCAAGTCTAACAGTGATATCCCAGCTTTTTACTTAAAAGCTCTTACAAGTTAGATATTTTTAAGTAACAGTTGCATGTCCAAATGAACACCCAGTATTAATTTTTGAAAATTCAGTGAAGAAAAATGGACACATACAAGAAACCAAGGATACGAATTCAAACTGGACGCTGCAGAAATACTGACTAGTGGTACACAATTTCAGTAAAATTGAATTCAAACAGTAGAACACAGAGACATATTAAACAAATAATTCTTACAGACCCCCAGTTTTTCTGAAGCAAAAAACACCCCAAATTGTCTCCCTGTAGAGAGCATCACCTTCCATCTCTCTAAACTGATAATTTTCTGGCCATAAAAAAGATAAATCACCTCTCCTGGAAGGGTCAGCATTTCACAATTCACCTTTTCATGCCCCACTTAACATCTAAAAAAAAAATCTTTTTTTTTTCTTTTACAACCAGAGACTTCTGGCCACTTTTTGTAATAATATACATAAACATATTTTCAAAGCTGTATTCACTCACTACTTTTTTGTTTTAAGTTAATTTCACCTCAATCCTAATATGAGGATTGCATTTAATGGAATGCTTGCACTCACCAACTATTTGAATGAAAAACTGGACACACAGTAAAAAAAAAATCTTTTAAAAAATGTCCTGCCTTACAGAGCATAGTTGTGCCACCTAAAAGTGCTTCCTTACTGTTATGAGACCAGGTTCCTCTGAATTCCCCCTCTGCCATACATACAAACACATACATATCACTTCCAGCTGACTATTTCACACTACAGTTATAGTTCTATGTTTCCACTTTAAGTGTCATAGCTGCATCCCATGGAATACTGGAGTTTGTAGTTTAGAGAGTCACTGGAGCTCTGTGGCTGAAAAATATCCCTCCCTAAACTGCATCTCCCAGGATGGTATGAGATATTCCCATGGCATTTAAATTGGAATCAATTAAATTAGCGCTATAATTATGTAGTGTGAAAGGGCCCTTAGTCAGTACAGCTCATCGTATATTAAGTTAGAAAATGACTACCTGGGGTACTGAAATTCAAGAAGTGTAAGCTCAAATTGCCTTTGGCCAACCTGGGATGAAAGTGGAAAACAAAAAGAGCATTCAGATGACATTCTCCAGCATAGGCCTATTCCATTGTGATTTGCAGATTAGAATTGTTAGATTGAAAACTGGAGAAGATTCCTGTACATTTAGTAGTTGAGTAGAAGAGGGAATTTAGGAGATCTTGTTTGTCAAATGGCCAGATAACAAGCAACACTTACTGGAACACCCTCTTCTACACAACCATTAAAGGTACATGAGCCATCTTCAGTTTTCATTCTAGCAATCCTAAAATCAAGAAAAACTGCCATTTTCAGTGTAAATCCTGACTGCATTTAATATGGATGGTAAGGTGGGTATGGCTGTTTCCCTAGCACACACACACACAAAAAATTTTTCCTTGAAAGGTAAGGTAGAATTATTTTAAATAAACAGCTAAGTGACCACACTTTAGAACGAATTAAACAGGCTTTTCACAGTAGCAGGTGGTTTATTATGTTTGCTCAATGACACTGGGTCTTTTTCACTTCCTTTAATGTGTAGATTGTAGCAGCAGCAGCTGATACTCCAAAAGCTATCATTGTTTTGGAGAAATCTGTGTCTGTGTGACTGTTTTGATTTTAATGGGTTCTATTCTGCACTAACCACTAACAAAAGCAGATCTATATATCACTAAACAGAGATGAATGGGAGAAGAAGAGAGGTATCAGGAGAGGAGGAGGGAGCACTTTGTGTGCAAATCCAGAATAAAACATGCTGCACATTCTTCAGCATTTCACAGATGAAAACTGGGGCACATGTGGCCAAGGTACAGCACAGTTTAGTCAAGATGACTAAAGTTATTAATGAGGAAGGGGGGGGGGGGACACAAGCTAGGAGATGCTGCAGCAGTTTGATTTTGCCTGAGGCTTCTGGGAAGGTCGAGATTGACTACTTTTCTCCTCTCTTCCCTTCTGAGTGCAAACTACTTTTGCTATTTAAACTCAGTTTGCAGTAACTGAAGCTGAGGACCAAGGAGAAAGTGGAAGGTGAATAGAGAAACTGGGAAATTTCAAAAACAGCTGACCAAGTGCAACAAGAGAAGATTAATTGTGGCTCTCCCTACCAAATTGGAATATTTGGAAGATATGGCTACTGCGGCTCTTCACTGTGTGAAATGTAGGGATTCCCCATGCCATTACCAAAATAACACTGATTACATAAAATGTGAAATTTGGAGAAATTAATTAAACACTGACAGCCAATGGACTGCCAGCACTTCTGAGGGTTGCTTTTATGCTTCCAGGTGGACTAAACTGAAGCCTCCAGTAAACTAGGTTGCTCGTAATTTGGCTATTTCTCCCACTGTTTCCCAGAAAACCACACAGGCCTTTGGGAATCAGAAGGCCAATGCACCAGGGAAGATGGTGTTCTAGTACTTAACACTTGTCTCTTTCTTGAGACTTCAAAACAACTCTCTGGTTACATGTGGTTCTCTGTTTATTTATTTATTTATGTAGCTATTATTGTCTTATATTTGAAGATCCCTCATAATCTGAGAGAGAGCCAATGTGGCGTAGTGGTTTGAGTGTTGGACTATGACTCTGGAGACTAGGGTTTGAACTCCGGCTCAGTCATGGGATGTTATCACATGGGGTCTAAAGCAGACAGAATCCACACTAAATCCTGTC